TTAGAGCTTCGTGGGGAAGAGCATCTTCTCCTCATCAAACCAGCCTTCTCTATGTCAGGAAACTGAAACCTCTTTTTTATGCTAAAGAAACCATTGCTGTTAACACTGTGGGATACGGCTGTTAAACATGTTCAAACATGCCTTGCTGCGATCATTCAAGCTGTCTTTAGTGGTCTGAAAGTAGTGTGGTATATTATCATAACGTGAAATCAGTTCTAGTAGATCTTTATTAGAGTGTGCAAGCTCAGCTGGAAAACACAAGAGCAGTTCTCTAGTGAAATTAAAGGTGTTATATGTAAGCTTTTGAAGCATAAAAACACAATTTTTGGAGATATTTAAGAAACATGCTAAGTGTACATACTTGTTTATCTGAAAAACAATGCTAAAGTCAGTTATTTGCTTTGAAAATGTTCATTATGGGCCGGAACGTCTGTCTTTGTTTTGGTCTCTTTAACACACTCAAGGCCAATTTAGCTAATTATATTTCAGCACCCCTGGGTTGCTATTGTGGAAAACCACGTATTTCATTCTTTCCTTTGTCAGAAAAGCTCTTAAAGTATGCATCCGTGAAATGCGACCTCTGGTAGACAGTGACAGCCTTCAAAATGAGACGCAGATTCAGAGTTCCACTTGAGGTGGTTATTAATTAGCAAATAATATAAATATTACAAACGTAAACATTAGGTGAGCAGGTAACACCGTAACCCTAAGTCCTAACAACACGCCACTTAACGAAATTTGCAATGATAATCAATTTGACTGCTTCCACCAGCTGAAACACGACAGAAATTTAAATGATTTAAAATTTCAGAAGCACAAAATAGCGCACTTACTGCACTCCAACGAAATGCTAAGGTTTATAATCTAACTATTACCTATTAAACCTCTTTATCATTAATATACGTATATGCTGAATAACTGATATGTGTTGGTTTGCAGTGAGTAACAGTTCTAAAGTTCAATTTCAAACGTTTATTTTATTTTCGAGATTTGAGGTTAACTATGTGCTGCTGCTTTCAGTAGTATGGCAATTAATGTCATGTAAAATAGCATTAAAAACACATTATTAGCATTTAACACAGAATAAAGCACATGAGGTGTACCTGAGGTAATCATTGTTATAGTTTTCTGTTGTTGCAAGAAATTTGAAAACCTAGTGTCGTTGCTTTTGTTTAGAACACATTTTAAATTAGCCTTAAATCATCCTTTAGGCTCTATAGTCAGGCACACTGCTGTTGGTGTCGTCAATCTGGCAACCTGCATTATTTAATAAACTTTCCTTAGTATGCACTTTCTTTTCATCAAAACATGCTGTAAATTTTCATGATTTTTTTATGGATTTAGTTTTAATTTTGTTTAAATCATCATTATCATGATTTTCGCAAAAACGTGACGTTATTTTAAAATATGTAGTATCATAGGTTTAGTGCATTTTAACAGTTTACATTCAAAAGCAGTAAATCTGTTATCAGACTTAAACTACTGTAATTTTATCAGTCTTAAAAGCATAATTATAAACAGGTAAATATTTGATCTGTTCAAAAAATAATTGAAACAGCATGTATTAGTATATAAAAAATAAATAAAAATTATATATATAATTTTTTACAGTCCTTGAAATATTTAAGTTTCTTTTTTTTTTTTGCTTGTTTTTTGTACATTGTAAATATTAAGTCAATAGAAATGCTTTAAGAAAACCTACATTTAATTAATCTGAACCTTTTAACCTTTCCATAACAATTTTAGATGTCAAAAATGCCTTTCAGAATGCTTGATGGATGTGGAATTCTTCTTCAAGTTTAGTAAATGAAGACAAATATTTAAAAATGCCTTACTTTATTTTTTCAGGTTTCGTTGCCAGATCATATAAAATATCTCTTTTAAAGGTTGGCCATAACAAATAATTAACAGTGTAGTGTGAGTTGTTGCCATTTACTTGTCACATGCTTTGTCTCAAGCATTCAAACTTACCATTCCATCCTCAGCAAACATATTGGTTTGATGTGATCTACTTTTTAATCTTTCAAGTAAGTGTATATAAAAACCCAACTATTTTAAGCATGCAGACTTGTTTGTTTTTCAAAAAAGTTGTTTTCGAATGTCAGTCAGGCCCAAAATGGGCCCCAGGTCTGATGTATACTCCCTGTTTTCCTTTATCTTCCCAGCAAACGTTCATCTTGAGCAAATAAGACCCATGTGCTCATTATCATGTCAACTATCAACACGGTGTGAATGAGATTCTTGAGTGTATGGGCTAATTTAAGCCATTCTTATCCACTTTTAAAAGGTTACACACACAGCCTGTGCAGGGTCATGGGGCTTCTAAGTCAGGGTTCAGCTATGGTTCACATTAGCATGGACATGATGTGGTAACAGCAGCGATGGTCATGCAGGCGGTGCGTTTGACATGCTTTTTGTCCTGTCTAAGGCTCAAACTCTCTCTGGGGATCTCTAGATTGCTCTGGCAGCAGGCTTACTTTGTGTGTGTATAATCACTTTCTGAGTGCCCATGACTAGCAGGGTCATTTAACTTCCCCCCCATGCGTCGACCTCAGGGTCAAGGGTTGAACCAGTCAACAATGGGAAGCCCGTGCTTCCTCTTTTGTAAGCACTGCTGGAGCGATCACACTGACAACCCATTGCCACTATGTTCTCTGTGAATCTCAGTCAAATGTGTTGATGTCTTAAATAAATGAGGTAGATTTGATGTTGGATAGAATTCATGAAAAAAAAAGCTGAAATGTTTTATTCACTGGTTGCTTTAACTGCAGCATCTACAACTTGATTAGCATCTATAAAAATCAAGCCAGCTTATTATAGTTACCCAAGACCAGTGTTGAGGAAAGTTACTCTGGAAAGTAGTGAATAACAATATTGAGTTACTCTCCTAAAAAGTAGAGTATACACTAGTTGTGTTACTTAGTTACTTTTTGTACTTTTTGTTATATTAATTTTAGGTTATTTTTGCTTTACTTTTACTTACCAAGCTAAGGCTTGACTGTTTTTTTTTTAAATAGAGGAGCAACTAACAACACACTGTATAACCTACATCTTTATTTACCTTAAAAACACATAAAAAACTTATAATGTAAGATAATGTTATCTTCTGAGAACTTCCTGATCTCAGAGCTCTATGCCATACAGTATATACAGAATAACGAAAGTTCAACTTTAAAGTTTAAGTACAAACCATTTTCAAGCACAATTCCTTTTCCTCCATGTATTCAAAATAATAAATGCATTCTAATTAATTCAGCAATTTACTTTTTAAAAAAGATAATGAATTAAACAAAAAAGTAACTTGTGTTACATATTTTGAAAAGTATCTCAGATATTATTACTTCCTTTTTTTAAGTAATAGGTTATTTTAATCATTACTTTAAAAAGTTATATTATTACGTAACTTCGTAACTACTTGTAATGCGTTACCCCAACACTGCCCAAGACGAAAACCATAAAATAAAAATAGTTTTTAACTTGAAACCAATTTTGTAGGAAAAATTAAATATGCAAATAGTAACAATAAATTAATTTTCATGCAGTTTAAATATAAACTAACGTAGCTAAATCATGGAAAAAACAAACAACTAACTACTCTAGACAAGAAAACTCTAGAAAATGACAGGAACTTTGTTTTTTTCGTGATTATTTGTAATTCTCATTTGTAAGTTACTTTGGATAAATGCATTGGAAAAATAACACAACCAATTAATAAAAGTGTACCTATAGTTAAAATAAAACAGAAAATGTAAAAAATAATATTAATAATGATGATTCAAACTATAGCTCTGATTAGGACATTTGCAGCTAATACAGAGTACTGATTCCTTGTCATGGTGATCAGCCAATACAGAGTACCGATTCTGATGCTTCAAACTTTATAATGCATAAAGCATATTTTCCCTCAAATTATGATGCTTAAGTGGAGTTTTCCCCCAACCTAAGAGCATAAATTAAGGACACTGCAGATAATCCCTTAAACATGTCTCTTATAACCAGTTAGGTGTGAACATGTCATAGTCAAAAACAGTAGATAGCAAAGATAAAAAAAAAACAACAACATGGTTTAAAGTTACTAATATTGCAATTTGGAAACACTGCAAATGATCAAAGAATGATTCAAAATACCTCAATCACGAAAAAGAGCGCATATTTGATGCATTAGAAGTTAAATTGCAAACCAATAAATGTCTTACTTCTTTACTAAACAGAAATAGGCCTATAAACTACTGTTTATTGTTAAAAAGTAAATTACAAGAAAATATTCATGTTAAAAAAAGCATTTTTTTAAATTATCTAGTATTTTCTGCCAGGTTTTAGTAAACCTGCTATATTGTCAAAAAACAGAACTTTCAGTTCTTATATGTAAAAAAGGCCTAAAGGACATGCAGGGTTATTCAAATATTTTTTGCTCATGTCCAACTAACACAAACACTTGTGATTGGATCATAAGACCGGCCAGATCAGCAAGTACTGATCCAGTCATTAACTGTGATTATTGGCCGATACCAATCTGTGGATGATCAATAGGAGCATCCCTAACTCAAACTATAAATACAAAGTGCAATAGTTGCTCAATATTAAAATAACACTGATACAACCAATACTTTAATCCAACTTGTTTTTTATTCTTTTAAATCAAAGCAAGATCCCTCTGATACAGCATCATCTTGAACTTAATTTATTAGTCAATATAAAAATAGCATACTGAAAAAAAGAGCTTCAGTATCTCTACAAAATGTACTGCAGAGAGTGGGATTTCTGTCATCGGTAAGCAAGGAGCAGGAAATGGAAAGCCCGGAGCGGGGCTGGAGTGGAGTGATTACAGAACGCTTTGAGCGGAGAAAAGGAAATTGCTGTCACTCCACAAGCTTATTCATTATAATTCTTTGCATTTTCTAATCAGCTTCTTTCCGACAGTATGGGATGCGGTTTTGATGTTGAGAGCTGACGCAGTATTTACTGTTTGGAAATGTTTTTTTCTCTTCTTTGTTCTTCAGACAAAGAGTCTCTGATCACAGACAGCGGGAAGCTTCACACTTTGGACTTGCTGCTGACTCGACTGAAGTCTCAGGGCCACCGAGTCCTCATCTACTCGCAGATGACCCGCATGATAGACCTTTTAGAGGTGAGCCTTTCCAGAAACTTCCACTGACATGACAGCCGTGCAAACATTATGCAACTATGTCATTATGACATGTTTTTTCCTTCAACCTCAAGCCTTTCCTTAATCTCCACAGAAATCTGGACTGAGGTCAAAGAGTACATGTTTTTGTTTATACGTTGGTTTCAGTTTGAGTGTTAAATCCTACAAAAGAAGAGATGTTGAAATTAAATCGAGCATTGTGAGAGGAAAAATAACGCTCCATATTGTTAACTGGACAAAGATAACTAGAGGAAACAATCACTTTTTCCAGAGGCACGCAGTTGTTTGCCACATGTTCAGCAGTCGGCCAAACACAGAGCTAAATGTAGAAGTCTCCAATAACATTGTCAACACAGGTCAGTTATAGTGCTTCACAACAGCGCAGTCTAGAAAAACCTCCTTAGAGTCAATAGTTATTTCTTCCCATTGATTTTAGCTAAAGTGTTTTTCATTGCGCTCTCTCGCAGGTCTGGTTACGTACACTTGACTTCCTTTATTTGTGAAGTGGTTGGTCTATTGAAAAAGTTATGCGGGGAAAATAAACATTGCATCAATCTATGGCTTCGGGTGGACATTAGTTTTGGCATTGGAATGTATATGCGAAACTCAATGGTTTATCTTTAAGTCAACATTACAAACTTAATTTGTTCCTATTTATTCTTCTGATCCAAATTGCTGATCTTATTGTGAACTGTTCTATTTAGCACATAATTTAAAAGAAAGCAATGCTTGGCTTTAGATTTTTTAAATAAGAATGTCTGAACTTGCCTTGCCTCTGAATTACTTCACTTCCCAGCTGCCGTCAGCTGTGGATTCAACATTGTTTTTAAGCCTAGCCAGTTTTTAATAGGTAACTCTTTGTCCACATTGACCTGCTTGTAACATTAACACCAAACTGATTAAACATCTTCCTTACGACTGCACGATGTTGGAAAAAATGGACATTGCGATATTTTGTTTTTCTGCCATATACATTTGCGATATAAGATGACCGAAGCAACTCTACATGTAAAGAATTTGTACATCTGCATAAAGCATAAAACAATTTGCAAGCATAGATGAATACAACAGAAAGATGCAAGAATTGTTTTGTGTTTTAAGTTTTTTTTGTGTAGTCTAAAGGCTGATTTATACTTCTGCGTTGAGTGATTGGTGTGACCCACGGCGCTTGCCTTGTGAGTAATTGTGCATTTATACTTCTGCGTGCTGTTTTTAATGTTCCTCTGTGATGGGTTTCTTCACGTGTCTTATGTTTTTTTTCTGAACGCTACCTTAATATACAAGTATCTAACTAAAACTCGCTCATTCAGAAGTGGAAACTGGCGGATGTGCAGCAACTTTAATTATAAGGTAAACACAAAACAAAAGTTTCTATCTGGAGCTCCTCCTCGGGACTTGACACTTGTAAACACTCACTTCATTGGGCTGGAAGGCTCAGCACCGCCCACGCTCATCACTGGTACCAAACTGACCAATCACAGAGCTTACACCATGTGCCGTTGAGACGTGTAGTTACATTTTTCAGCCATGGCAAGGGCTATGTGACCGCGCAAAGGCTGCGTTAGACCATACCCGTGCACTTGATGCACTTAAAAGTATTAATCAGCCTTAAGAACATGAGTTCAACATCAATCAAATAACATCATATTCTCTTCATTGTATGAATAATTCAATGCAATTAAAGCTTTGTTAAATCTCTAAACTTTAGAATTTCTTGGCTTAAATTCACTTGATATCTTAGTCACTGTTCCTTTAAAAAACATGTCCATATGAAAATCTTTGACTCTATTAAGGCTGATTTATACATCTGCTACAAGTGTACAATGTAACCCATGGTGACTGTCTTGCGTGTAGCTGTGCATTTATACTGTGTTGCTCTGCAATAACACTTCCATACACTAACTGGCAGTAGGTCTAAATGTTCCTCTGTGTCGAGTGTCTTTGCGATTGTTTTGTTTTTTCTAAACGCTACCTTAATGTACAAGTAGCTTAAACTCGCTAATTCGGAAGCGTGAACCAGTGGACGTGCAACAACTTTAATCATAAGGTAAACACAAAACAAAAGTTTTCATCTGTAGCTCCTTCACAGAACTCGACAAATATAAACCCTCATTTCTTCTGACTTGCAGCTCTCATCACCGCCCACATCCATCACAGCTACCCAACCAGACCAATCACAGAGCTTGCACTACATGTATTTGCGACGTGCAGCTACATTTTTCGAAAGGTGTGCGTCAGCCACTGTGTAGGGCTTTGCGACCGTGCACATACTGCACCAGAGCATACGTGTGCGCTTAACGCAGAAGCTTAAATCAGCCTTTAGGCTTCAAGTTTGCCATGACTCCACAAATCAATTTAATTCAATTCACTTTTTTAATTCAGCTTTATTTGTGTAGTGCTTTTACAATGTAGATTGTGTCAATGCAGCTTCACATAGAAAATCATAGTAAATTAAAACCGTGTAGTACAGTTTAGTTTAGCTCAGTTAAGTGTGGTTTAATAGTCACTACTGAGAGTCCAAACACTGAAGAGCAAATCCATCGACGCGCAGCTCTACAGATCCCAAACCAAGCCAGTGGCAACAGCGGCAAGAAAAAAAACTCACCAATCATATTCTGAAATGTTGTTCCTGGTCATTGTAATCACAACTCAACATTGCACATCCTATGATTTGACTATTGCAGATTAGCACATTTCGATATCGATGCTAAAGTGATAAATTGTGCAGCCTTCATCTTCCTAATAAATCTTAAAAGCATTTTCAAACAAGATAAAACTGTTTTTTAAATTGTCATTTTTTTTTTAAATATGGTCATTTAAAATTTAAAAACATTTTTGGCCATTATCCTTTGAACCGCAAGGTTTTAGCCGTTTTTAATCATATAAAATCTTATACATTTAGTATAATTACATATTAATGTTTAAATGCATCTTTTTTCAGAAATGTTGTTTAAAACATTATTCACTTTATGTAAATTTGATAGTTTTTTTTTTGATAAATATAAATAAAAGGAAAATGTAGCAAAATTTAGAACGCTAACGTACCTTTAACAGCCTTAAAAATGCTTTTGCTTTGTAAACCCCAGCAATGCATTCTCTTTGCGGAAGCCGAAGACTTGTCAAGCCATGTCTCTTTTGATACTGTGTCTCTCCAAGCAAACCCCTTGTATGTTTTGGCCAACTTTTTCTAATTTATTATGTTCACTAGCTGAACTCCAACTCTGGGTTCATTCTAGCATATTCCGGGCATCCTTCCTAAGTCTCAAACTAAATCATCTCATTCTCAACACTCCGCTAACCCAGAGTTATATTCTCAATAGTGTATTGCCATTTTAGATGCTCCTATTTGTTACTCACAGCTGCAGAGGAGCTTTGGATTTGTGATCTAATGTTACTTCAGTCTGGAACAAAGTCCTAATCAAAGGCGTTTAATGTCAAGGCTAACGCTAGCTTCATACGCTCCAGATGTGATTTTGGGAGGCCGTCCAGTGTAGTGGAGGCTTCAGTCTGGGTGGTGCAGGAGAGTGGGAGGTCATCTGGGAAATGTCTCTGCATACAGCTACACTAATGAGGGTGTGTTAAGAGGGACATGCTTCAAAACTAGTAATGCAGTTTTAATGAGAAGATTTAAGTGAAATAGACTCACTGGTTACATATCTTGCAAGATTTTCCATTTTCTTGTGGAACTCTTTTTCAGCTGTTATTGATGTAAGATGCTGATTTATGTAGGATGCCCACTAAAATGTCAATCTGTGATGATAAGAGCTTAATTATATATTATAATGATCTTGTCGAGGATATTAAGGACAATCGTGTGATGACATATTAAAAGACTCTAGATCTTTCAGTCCTCAAAGTACTCATTAAATGTAAATTCAGATTTTATACTTCTAGCATACTTATTAGGCGTGTGACAAGATGTCATTGGACGAGATTAAATCATGATGAGATTTCTCGTTGAGGTGAAAAGTCGTGTAAATTGCTTGGCCGAGTGTGACGTTGGCGTTCAACATAGGCTACAACTGCAGCCACATACATTATGGCTCGTAACCATGGAATATGATGGAATATCACTTCAAAAATGCTTAAAGTCATAATCATCATAAACACAAATGGAATTAAGACATGTGGAGTATTCCTATTTTAGTCGCATTATTGAAGTGCTGTACAGACATGTAAACACTGCAGTCAAACTATTACCGTCATGTACAGGTGGACGTTTAGTCTGCATTTTCAACAGGATAAGCCATACACACATGGTTGTTTGACTCTGTGCACCTTCTGAGTGAGTAAAGGACCACAGACACACATAGACAGACACACTTAACTTTTGGAGACTCGAGACACCCGCCTTCATCATCGCGGAACACGTTTATGCTGTCCGGGAAACGCAGTTTTTTTTTTTTTGCAAGCGATATCAAATTACATTTAAACCACTCTCTCCTATAATTTATTAATTCATATTCGCATGATCCCATCTAGTAGCATAGAGTGAGTTACAGGGGCATAAATGAAATCTTGCTGAACGAAAGCAAAACTAATTTTTTTAATAAATTAAATGAAAAACAGTCATGTAGTTTTTGGTAAGTGCAATTTTGTGGAAAGGAGTTTGATTTCCCATGTGAAACTGTACAGGGGAGAAGCCTGTCAGTAATTTAAAGCTAAATATAGTGTTTGCATGTCCTTTATGGCATAAATTCTTTAAAATAGATACCATTCATTTTATATTTCTTACAAAAGCACCCCAAATTGTTTTGCGTTTATGATTAATTTTTCAGTTGAATAAAAAAATCTATTTTTCATTCATATATTAGCAAATATTTTACTAATATTTAAAATGATAGAAAAGCTTTTCCATTCACATTGGCTATTTGCAAAATATTTAGCAGTTTTTGCATGCCCTTAACTCCATAGAATTAATTAAAATAGAAGTAAAATAACATTAATTACAAGTTGATTTAAAAAAACACCCAAATTCTTTAGCAATTTTTTATTTCAGTTGAATAAAAGATGATTTCTTAAAAATAATGTAAAAATCTTACCTCGTCTCGTGGAGTAAACGTCTCGTCACACCCCTAATACTTATACTTACACTAACATTGTATACTATAGCTACTATTATAAACTAATTAGCTTTTTATATATGTTTTTACTGAAAATAAATAATATTTTAGTTTTATCACAGCAAGAAGGTCATTGTTTCGATTCCCCACTGGGTCAGTTGGCATTTCTGTGTGGAGTTTGCATGTTCTCCCCGTATTCGCGCAAGTTTCATCCGGGTGCGCCAGTTTCCCCCACAGTCCAAAGACATGCGGTACAGGTGAATTGAATAAACTAAATTGACTGTAGTGTATGAGTGAATGAGTGTGTATGGGCTACGCTAATAACGTCGTACACCCTCAATTTCCTGTTTGGTTCTCTTGAAATTCTAGAAACATCTAGTAAGATGCTTTAATATTTTGGGTGTTTTATTAGTGTGTTTTATCACTTTGTGTGAACCTTAAAAACATGATAAAACAGTGCTGCTGCTTGTTCACACGATCATGACCAGAAGATCACAAGGTGGACTGTGACATGATAAAATCTCTACTGCTTTGGTACTCCGTCACGTTCATCTCTCATCAGCAATTGCTTCAGTGATCTTGTTTTGCCAAACTCCACTTTATATTATCATAATAATAAGGGCGTACTCTCACTAGGCACGGTTGCCTTGAACCGTGCCAAAGCGCGGTTGTCCCCCCTCCCCTCTCCTCTGACGGCCTGCACTCACATTGCATCTTTACATTCTAAGCCCGAGCAAGCTTATGTCATCGATGATGCGACTGCTCTGTTTTACAGGAAGTGAAGCGCTCTGACTCAGCACTGTGGACATTGCTTTAGTTATATTGTTTTTGTCGTTTGGGATGCAGTGACAAATAATCAAATATTTTGCTGAACATATCCACAACTTTTGACGCTCATAAATTATCATAAAAGCCCTCGTGCTGCATTTATTTGGAGGTTTGCTGAAGGTGCAGCGAGGGGTTTGCATCTTGAAACAGTCTCTTAAAAGTGAAGTCGCGCCTTTAGTTTCGGGCTCAGGTGCACTTTGCCTTCACACTATAGGCATACCACACCTGAGACCAACCGAACCGCACTCTGGCACACCTCTTGCAACTAAACTGGACCTGAGCCCAATTCGGAGCATTCACACTATTCAAAAAAACTGGGAAATGCGCCTGGGCACAGTTCAGATAACCTAGTGTGAGTAAGCCTAAAGTCTAGAACACTTTGGCTCATTCATTAAGATTAGATTAGATTAGATTAGATTCAACTTTATTGTCATTACACATGTACAAGTACAATGCAACGAAATGCAGTTTAGGTCTAACCAGCAGTGCAATAGCAGCAAGTGCAGGATACAGGAATAAGTTATAAAGTGCAGTTATAGAAAACTATGGTGATATTTACAGATGGATGTACTATGAACATTATATACAGGTTGGATAAGCTATGAACAGATTTACAATATATGAATATATGTGCAGGTTGCTATTAATAATCAGTAGTGTGCAGATAGATAAACATGATTACAAGTGTATATGTAACAATATATGAATATATGTACAGGTTGCTATTAATAATCAGTAGTATGCAGATAAATAAGCATGATTACAAGTGTATATGTATAGTGGGTGTGTACATAATTACAAATGCCCATATGCAGTGGGTACGTACAATTCAATAAGTAAACAGCTCAATGTGGTGCAGTGAATGTGCAAATTATAAATGTGCAAATGTTAAACAGTGCAGTTATTGCGAGGAGTTTAAGTTAGAGGAGAGTGGGGGGTGTATTGGGGGGGCAAAAGAGTCCGTGTGGGGCAGAGTTCAGGAGGGAGACAGCTCTGGGGAAAAAGCTGTTCCTCAGTCTGCTGGTTTTTGTCCTGGGGAGCCTGAAGCGCCTGCCGGAGGGCAGGAGAGAAAACTGTCTGTGAGCAGGGTGAAAGGTGTCCTTCAGAATACTGCGTGCTCGGCGCAAACAGTGTTTCTTCTGGATGTCCTCTATGGCTGGCAGTGTGGTCCCTGTGATGCGTTGGGCAGTTTTCACCACCCGCTGCAGTGCCTTACGCTCAGCAACAGAGCAGCTTCCATACCAGACTGTGACACAGTTTGTCAGAATGCTCTCTATTGTGCAGCATGAATTCTGCAGAGGATGTAAAGAAGATGATAACTTCCATGATTCCACACTCAGTCACAGCATCATAAATCGATGTGTTTATTTTGTGAATATGTTAATTATTGTGCTTTACAATTAAATATTGTGCATTTAATCACAAAGATGCTTTTATTTTCTCCTCTTTCTTTCCTCTCTAAATGAACAGTGACCAGACACCATTACACTGAACAGTTTTCACTTGTTTTTGTTAAATGTTAACTGCTTTTTTCCTCTGTTGCTGTTTGCTTGATGGTCTAAGATGCCAGTTTTTTAAAAGATTAGTATTTCAGTGTATTACCTTAATCTATTTAATTCAGTCTCTATAAGTTTGTTTTATAGTTTTTTATTTTAATTTTTTATGATATTTTCTGAAATTAAATTATAGCTTTGTGTTAATTTACTGTCCCGCAGGAGTACATGGTGTACCGCAAGCACACATACATGAGACTGGATGGCTCGTCCAAGATTTCGGAGCGGCGGGACATGGTGGCTGACTTCCAGAGCCGGTGAGTTTTCAGCTAGTTTTCATCCCCCGGACTGAAAAGGGAGACATGCGCGCCTGTAAACGCCCAGCTCTTTTTAAACCTAATTGGAGCTTGTTTTTCCAAAATGTCACCAAGTGTAAATTCCTCCTCCCTGGTGGTGCTGTCAGGGGCTTTTGCTCTCCCCTTCCTCACAGGGGTCTGGTTTGCATTAGCTCAGCTCTGGTTTTTATTTCGGAGGGGAGTGTGCTGTGTATTTAAACGTCTCTTGTTGTAAATTCTGGGTGGTTGGACAGGCCTCTTGAAGAGCACGATCTGCCGTCGCTTTATTTGCTTTCTCTCACTGTTCTGGTGTCCCCTCCCTCGCAGGACGGATATCTTCGTCTTCCTCCTCAGTACCCGAGCCGGAGGCCTGGGGATCAACCTGACAGCTGCAGACACGGTGAGGCCTGAAGCCCATCAGCAGATCGCCTCTCTCCACCCAAACCTGAGGCCATGAGAACAGAGTCTAAAATTGAAGACATTTAGCACTCATGTCATCATAGCTGCTGAACTCATTGACCTTAGTGTGAATTCTTTAAAGCCAAATGATCAGCATGAAAAGCAACACAGTATACTGGTTCGGGTTTATTTGAAGTAACAAAAAGGCAGGACGAAAACAACAATGAATTATAGTGCAGCAGTGTCTGTGAGCCATTAAATGAAAAACATAGAATCTTTTGTGTTGATTCAGAATTACGGTTAACATATGAAGTAAAAAAAATATATTTATATATATATCTGAACATAAAATTTGGAAAATACATTTTCAAGTCTCAGAACAATAAGTGTAGTGCAGCTTTAAAAGTTTTTCTCCTGTACGTTTAAATGTTTCCTGTTAATTGTTTTCTGAGCAGAAATAATGACTCATGCACATTTTTACTATGATTTACTGTGGATACCCATTAGATGTCATTCATTATAACAAGTAGTGAATATACTGAAAATAAAAAACAGAACTTTTTTTTTCAAATTGGATATAAAATGTTTTCCAAAACATGTTCTTAAACTGAAAACAAAAACCAAATAAAAAGCCATAAATCAACATCTGTTTTCCAAGTTTGAGGTTGCTTTCTCAGTAAATGAGTTTTCAGTAACATCTAGTTTGGGCGCCGGACCAAACATATTAGCTGGATTAAATTTCGATTCCATTCATTTTAAAAGTGCAAACAAATTTCAAACGTGTGTTACCCATGACTAGGGCCAAAACTTAAGAGTTTAATGCCTTTTTGACGAAGTAGAGATGATATTAAACAAGCAAAATGTCTATATTTATATTCATTCATTCATTTTCCTTCAGCTTAGTCTCTTATTTAACAGGAGTCGCCACAGCGCAATGAACCACCATCTATTCCAGCATATGTTTTAAGCAGCGAATGCACTTTCAGCTGCAACCCAGTTCTAGGAAACACCCATACACTCTCACATTCATGCTCAAGCACTACAGCTGATTTTGTTTTGACCAATTCACCAGTTGAAGTCAGAATTATTAGCCCCCATGTTTATTTAGCCCCATTTTCTGTTTAACAGAGAGATTTTTTTCAACACATTTCTAAACATAATAGTTTTAATAACTCATTTCTAATAACTGATTTATTTTATCTTTGCCATGATGACAGTACATAATATTTTACTAGAAATTTTTAATACACTTCTATACAGCTTAAAGTGACATTTAAAGGCTTAACTAGGCTAATTAGGTTAACTAATATATATAAAACATAATACTTATGTAATGTTACTAACCAGGCCAATAATTATCAAATTCACAGATTATGTTATTCTTAACAGTGTCAGTCCAGTACCTTGATCTTCTAGCTTACGATATAAAAAAACTTTGATTTAGACTATCAGAATAGAGCTTACCAGATCCAGAAAGTGCTTTACACTTTTGTAATTAATATGCATCAGATGGTCTGTGGAATCACCTGTGAGGAAACCATTTTTTATATATATGTGCAAGAACAACAAATGAATAGCCATTTATAATGATGTGTTCATCGAGGAAGTCCTGAAATAGTTCTAATGTAGCCGTTTCATCTCTCTCAAGGTGATCTTCTATGACAGCGACTGGAATCCTACTGTTGACCAGCAGGCCATGGATCGAGCTCACAGACTCGGACAAACCAAGCAGGTCACAGTCTATCGGCTCATTTGCAAAGGAACCATTGAGGAACGCATCCTACAGAGAGCCAAAGAAAAGAGTGAGGTTAGTGCACACTGCCTAGTCTAGTACCTTGACTGGGCCAAAATGTTACACAGAATGTAATGTAACACCTTTTCGATTGATGTGCGCTAATTATCCCTTGTCTCCTGATAGCTTACAACACCCCGTTTAAGTTACAAGAGCTATGTTTATCTAAATGTCAAACCTAAGAAGTTTGCGGTGACAAGGGGTTAAAGGAATATTTAGTCCATGCAATTACAACTTATTATACTGTAATTGCATATATGCTGTAAACATTCAGGCTGTCTATATCAACACATGGTTATAGTCCGTATATGTTTCCAAGAGTTGAGTCTTCTCCTCTTTCGGCTAGAAGTGATTTGATTTATTTTTTCTCTGTCTCAATAATCACTCTCTGCTGCGGGATCTGCACTTTAGATTCAGAGGATGGTGATATCAGGAGGAAATTTCAAACCCGATACCTTGAAGCCCAAAGAGGTGGTCAGCTTGCTGCTGGATGATGAGGAGCTTGAGAAGAAATGTGAGTTACCGCTTGGTTTATGGTTGTAAAAGAATGTATTAGATCTGGATTTGGGTAATGAGTGAATTGTTTGAGTCTGATTGAATGGTGCACTTGTGTTTGTGGGCAGTGCGTTTGCGGCAAGAAGAGAAAAGGCAGCTGGAGGAAAGCAGTAAGGTGAAAGAGAGGAAGAGGAAAAGAGAGAAATATGCAGAAAGGGTAAGAACTCTTATAGGGATGTACTGTAAATCTACTTTGTGTTCAGAAGAATATAGGAATATACAGTTAAAGTCAGAATTATTAGCCATCCTGTTTATTTTTTCCCCAATTTCTGTTTAACAAAGATAAATATTTTTCAACACATTTCTAAACATAATGTTTTTAATAACTCGTTTCTAATAACTGATTTATTTTTAATCTTTGCCATAATGATTAAAGTAAATAGTAAATAATATTTGACTAGATATTTTTCAAGACACTTCTATACCGCTTAAAGTGACATTTAAAGGCTTGACTAGGTTAACTAGGCATGATAAGGTAATTGGGCAAGTTAATGTACAATGATAATTTGCTCTGTAGACAAAAATAAAATAGCTTAAAGGGGCTAATAATTTTGACCTTAAAATGGTGTTTAATAAATTAAGAACTGCTTTTCCCCAGAAGAAATAAGAAATAATTTTCAGACATACTGTGAAAATTTCTTTGCTCTGTTAAATATTTGGAAAAAAATTAATATTTTAATATTTGAAAAATATATTAAAATATTAATAATTCTAATAATTCTGACTTCAACTGTATAAAGAATATAGCAGTTTTCTATAAATCAATGTTTTTTAGTTGTTAAACGTCTTTAAACATGTACATTACATTAATATTAGTAAATGCATTAGACAACACGACTAACAATATTTTTAGGGCATTTATTTATGATAGTTATATTCATGTAATTTTGTTCATGTTCACAGTGACTTTACAGTTAAAACGTTTTGGTTTTACAGTTTATTATAGTAAATGTTGGAATTAGATTAATGTTATTGAAAGTTATAGAAGTATTGTTTATTATTAGTTAATGTTAGCTAATCTAAACTAAAGTTTACAAATAAATGTAATCACTTTTTACTTGAACTTTTAAATCCACAATCACCCATTCTTCTTGTACACTACCTGACAAAGTCTTGTCGCATATCCAAGTTTTAAGACCAACAAATGATATGATAGGCAAAGCACTCTAGATTACGCTTATTTTACCATAATAAAATATGATTGTGTCTTGATTTTTTAATTTATTTAATTAGGACAGTAAGGTTTGACTTTGCTTAGACAAATCTTGTCACTTAACAGAAATAATGTACAGTATAGAATATAAAGTCATGGTGCGGTGGAAATCATATTGTGTATGACTCCCATGAGCTTGGATCCATACATCTCTGCAATGTCTCAAATAACTTAATAAAGTCATCTGAAATGGCAAGAAAGCGGTCTTGCAGGACTCCTGAAGTTCATCAAGATTCTTTGTATTCATCTTCAATGTCTCCTTCTTCATCTTACCCCAAACATGCTCAATAATGTTTACCTCTGGTGACTGGGCTGGCCAATCCTGGGCAACCTTGACCTTTTTTGCTTTAGGGAACTTTGATGTGAAGCTGAAGTATGAGAAGGAGTGCTATCCTGCTGAAGAATTTGCCCTCCCCTGTGGTTTTTAATGTAATGGGCAGCTCATATGCCAAGCTGTTGATGTTGCCATCCACTCTGCAGATCTCTCGCACGCCCCATACTAAATCTAACCCCAAATCATGATTTTTCCTTCAACAAACTTGACTGATTTCTGAGATTCTTGGGTCCATGCAGGTTCCAATAGGTCTTCTGCAGCATTTGTGATGACTGGTGATGCAGTTCAACAGATGATTCATCTGAAAAATTTACTTTCTGCCACTTTTACAAATGATCAACGAGAAGTCAAGATAATATTTGTTACTCTTACAGCTTGAATCGACAACAAGACTTTTGTCAGGTAGTGTACACGGAGCTGTGGTAGTCTAACTGAGTGCACATTATACAAGATCAGATATTTATCAGTGATGACCATCCTCCCATCAGAAATGACAATTATGTGGTTTGTATGGTGGTTAAAAGTGTTACCAGTAACACCAGCATATATGACTGATATTCCGAAACAATCTTTGAGAGTTTAGGGCCATTGCATGATTTAATGGCTTGAAACTATAAAAATGGTTCGTCAGTGATCCCCCTGAAACCCCCCGGTGGAAACTGCAATTATGTGGTTTGTACAGTGGTTAAACATGCTATTGGTAACACCAGTAAATATGACTGTAGCATATATCGCTGAAATCCTGAAATTATCTTTGACAGATTTACAGCCATTCCATGATTTAATGGCTTGAAACTATAAAAAAGGTTGATTTACTCTGTTTATAAGTCTGTCGCCTACTTTCTCTCTCTTTTTTTTTGTCCTTGGCTGATCACATGCCTGAAAAAAGTGTATAAATAAAACGCTGCTGTATATTCTTTGCCACAAACTATTTTTGTTATAAATGCAAAGATTTTTCTTTGGAGTACAGTATAGAACTTGGCAAAATATGTTGCAATGAACACTCTCCTTGCATTGTCCTTGATGTGTCCTTGCATCTTGCTCTTTTTGAAGAAGAGGAAGGAGGACGACCCAGAGTCGAAGAGGAAGAAGGAAGGTGTGAATATGGTCATCCCTTATGTCCCGTCTGCAGACAACTCTAACCTTTCGGCAGATGGAGAAGACTCCTTTATCAGTGTGGACATGGACTCTGCCATACCTAGTCCTTTCAGTGAGGTAAACACCAAAACTAGATCCAAAAACACTTCCTGGACTAACTACGTGGTCCTCATAATACTTACCAAATTACAGATGACATGCTGTCAGGGTGAATTATGGACAGTGCTGGACTTTGTCTTGTTAATGAGTTCACAAAACAAGCATGTGAGAACCGTCCTATGGAACAAAACGAATACCAAATGTATTTGAGATAAAACAGTTGTTGAATAGCACTGATATTTCAACTAAAATATTTCACACATATTTACATGCTTAAATCAAATACTTTGTTCACCTTTCGGAATTCACTTTCAAAATATTCAGTTCTGTTAAAAAAAATATATATATGTAAATTATTTAAAAGGCAAGTTCATTGGTACAAATTCGGCTGTTAACATTCAACATTATATCCAGGAACTGCAGGGAAAACAATAGTGTACCGATAAACAAATTCCAGCTGCTGTTTTACCAAACAGGTCAAGATGGACCAATTTAAGATTTTAAACCAGTAAATGTGTGGAAAAGAAGCTAATAAAGGTACAAAAGTAGCATATAATTTTCTCAAGAGGTGATCCAATGGCATCTGTGGTCTTTAGCATCATTGTTAAATGTGTTCAGTTTGTGCTATTCAAGCTTTTTATTTCAAATACTCTTGGCATTCATTTGGTTCCATACTGTGCCATGATGCTTTGTGTGGATTATTGGAGTATTGTCCATTAAACTAAACAAGATAAATTCAGTAGTGTTTTTAAAAAGTGGGATAAATTAGGTGGCATTATTCGTCTCACAGTTCATCCATCTTATGTCAAAAGGTGACTAATTAAAATTACAGCTTAATTTCAGCAAAACAAAAGAAAGCAAGTCTTTCTTCAATTTATGTGTTGAATTTTACAAAATTGAAAATATTGTGAAGGAACAAAAAACAAGCTTGACTACAAATATGTTTGTGATATTAATGTCACTTTATTTTCAGGACTGATTAAAATAAAGCGCAAAGCCTAACGTATAATGAAAAACTATATCAAAAGTCAATTAAATTATATATTCACAAACCTGTTTTAAATCCAAAAAAGTGTGTTCAGCAGCTCATATACTGTACAAATTATGTACAGTTAAGGTCAGAATTATTAACTTCCCTGAATTATTAGCCCCACTGTTTATTCTTTTCCCCAATTTCTCTTAACAGAGAGCAGATTTTTTTAATACATTTTTAAACATAATAGTTTTAATAACGCATTTCTAATAACTGATTTATTTTTATCTTTGCCATGATGACAGTAACTAATATTTGACTAGATATTTTTCAAGACACTTCTTTTCACAGCTTAAAAGTGACATTTAAAGACTTCACTAAGTTAATTAGGTTAGGATAATTAGTCAAGTTTGTTGTATTTAAATTGTATAACGATGATTTGTTCTGTAGACTATCAAAAAAATTAATAAATAAAATAGCTTAAAGGGACTAATAATTTTGACCTTAAAATGTTTTTTAAAAGCATAAAAATTGCTTTTATTCTTGCCGAAATATAACTTTCTCCAGAAGAAAAAAGATTATCAGACATACTGTGAAAATTTCCTTGCACTGTTAAACATCATTTGGGAAAATATTTAAAAAATAAAAAAATAAATCAAAGGGGCTCTAATATTTCTGACTTCAACTGTATATTAATATATATATATATATATATATTAATATACAACTGTATATAATATTATTAACATAATGTATTAAGTCATATTTGAGAAGTACATTTTATTATACAGAAGTAATTCTTGTCATGATTTCTTTAAGTTACACGATAATTTCACAGATTGTATTAAAGGTCTTGGCATTTCTTTGTTAATGTGACTATTTGTAAAAGAAATGCTTCAATGCTTGTGACATTGTGTCTGCTAATTATTTTGATTGGCGAAATTTTGATGCGTCATTAAACAATACACTTATGTCATGGTGATCCACCACACATAATACTGATTTCACAATGCAATGATCTCACTATAACTTAAAGCAAAGCCAAAATAAAGTTAAAATGGTACATAGTCAAGATTAATTGTTAACAAAGGTGGCGTTCATTAAAATACCAATTGAGCTAAAACATTTGTGGTGTAAGTTAATATCCTTGTTAAAGGTCTTTTCTGAAAAACCCAACAAAATCCATCATAATTAGTGAGTTTTGCAAAACACACCATACATCTAAATATTTGATTTCATATTTATACGGTCCATACCAGCGTTCTTCCCTTGTGTCTAATACAGTGTGTCAAAGTTGCCTCTCACTCTTTTTTTCACAATGGTCATGAATTATTTATAGTGCTGCCTTTTTATACAAGACATTTCATGTTAGTTCTTAGGAACCGAAGTTCCCCAAAAGTGCAACCTGTAAATTGAAACACGGTAGCAAATAAATGCTGAGCGAGCTGTTATGCCATTTTCAACGCACTTCCTCTGGTTCACCAGTGATCTGACGGTGCTCTTCCTCCTCCTCATCCATCTTGTGGTCCTGCTGTCTCTCCTCTGTGGTGCTGTCCCTCTGTCCCCGTCTCACCCCCAGAACTATGTGTCTCTGCAGATCTCATTGAGCAGCGAGCTTCAGCCCAGCTCCATTCCTGCAGACGAGAGCAGCAGCGACATGCTGGTAATTGTGGATGAACCTGTATCTTCTGCTCAACAGTCCCGTGCCACCAACTCTCCCGCCTCCATCGCCGGCTCTGTCTCAGATACCATGAATGGTGGGTACCCTCGTCATTTTTGTAATAACATTTGAAAAATTTTTTATATTGCTCTGAAAAAATAGATCACTTGAAAATTATTAATGCTTCTTTTTATTAATGATTTGTTTGTCTATTGTACTTGTTTTGAGTCAAATGGTCATTTGTTTTTATATCTTTTTTTACAAACTACTAATAATGTGTTTTCAAAACCTCACGGTAAATTATTGTCATTGTGTACGTTTACATGGACACCAATAATCCTGATTTTAATACAATTAAGGCAATACTCTGATTAAGAGTTAATCATGTAAACAGCAATTTTTGCTTAATTTAATCCAATTATGGTCATAATCGAACTAAACAGAAATGCAATTAAGACATGTGGAGTATGCCGATATTAGTCCCATTATTGAAGTGCAGTACAGACATGTAAACACTGCATCAAGCTATTACCGTCATGTAGGATTTTTACCGCATTTTGCATATCATCTATACACACACAGCTATTTGACACTATTCTCTGCACCTACCCAGGCATAAAAGGACAACAGACACACACATTGCAAAATTCAGAGTGTTTTTTCCCAATACGGCATACGGTATCAAATTCTATTAGAACTACACTCTTCCAGCAGTTCATACTTGCATCCAATATCTCGCTTGTTACAGGGGGCATGCATGAAATGTTCCTGAATGAAAATGAAAGTGCCAAACTAACTAGTTAAAGTCGACAACTTAAAAATTAAACACCCGAAATTACATGAAACTCCAGAGAAAATGTGGATAGTGTTGACGCAATGACATTAAGAGAATTATGTGCTAGAACATCTAAAACTGTCTTTATTCAGATTAAAGCAAATCATTTGATTACTGATGTTCATGTAAATGTAGTCAATGAGAGCATTATTTATAGAAAATGATAATTGATCTATGTTTATTAATATATATAATATTAATATATGTAATATATAAAAAAAATCAATAAATAAAAAAAAGAAATTCTATATAAAAGAAAGTCTATATATACTTACAATTTCTTTTCTTTTTTTTCATATTTTTTTGACTATATGTCTTCAAGATTAAATGCATTAGATTTCTGTCAAATGATTGACTGATTAAATATTTACATTAAAAGAAATTTACATTAACAAACAGTTGAACAGGTGTACCTACAATCTGTTTCACTCCCAAAAAATGTCGTTCCATTTCCTTAAAAACAAGCTCTGCTCCAGCCCACAAACTCCCCAGGTAGAAGTTTATTTGGATTTGTCAATCTCTTTCCAGAAATAGGATTTTTGCTTGAGTTTTTTTTTCTTTCAGGTCCCAGAATAAATGGGTTTCCATTTATGTATTATAATGTGAATTTTGGGGGATTAAATAAAAAACCTTCATTAAAAAAAAAATAAATAAATAAATAAAATTGCTTGTACTTTTTTGCTTGTTATAAAGAAGCTGTTGCCTCACAGCAAGAAGGTCGCTGGTTCGATCCTCGGCTCAGTTGGCGTTTCTGTGTGGAGTTTGCATGTTCTCCCTGCGTTCACGTGGGTTCATTCCGCTGTGGCGACCCCGGATTAATAAAGAAAATAAGCCGACAAGAAAATGAATGAATGAAGGTGGCATTTATCAAATGTAAAAAAATTGTTAAATATTTATAACAATTTTACATTGCTGTTTTTTATTGTATGTCGTTTCAAATGAAATTATTACTCCAGTCATTATTGCTTTTACCATTAATAATAATTATTAATATTAGAGTGATTTTTGAAGGATCATGTGACTCTGAAGACAGGAGTAATGAAGCTGAAAATTCATCTTTAAAATCACTGGAATAAATGATTAAATTAAATTATAAACTTGAACGGCTATTTTATAGTGCAGTAACATTCACAATTTTAGATTTGTACTGTATTTTGATTAAGTAAATGCAGCCTTGGTGAGCAGGAGAAGCATATTTTAAAACATATAAAAATCCAACTGACCCAAAACTTTTGACCGTGTGTGTGTGTGTGTGTGTGTGTGTGTGTGTGCGTGTGCGTGTGTGTGTGTGTGTGTCTTAATTTTTTTCTTTTCTTTTTTTATTTGCACATTCAATTCTTTTTTATTCACTACTTGTATTGAAAGAGTTAGTCAGCTGTCCTGCTCGCAATCTGAAAACTGTCAACTCCAAGTCCTGCCTTGTTGTCTGTTTAAGGTTATATATAGCTACTGTAAGGATGGAATTTTAACTAAAGCAGTTTGAACTGTAGTTCTTCTAGAATGACTAAAAAGTTATCAGTTTGATGGTGAAAAACTGTACCTTTCTAGTCAAACCATCCTTCTGCAATTTTATACCAAAAACGGAAATAAGAGCTGCATTAATAGCTAAAAATGTGGAAGAGCGTTGCTATCATGTTATTGTATTGTATTGCAATATGGAGCAATTAAGTGTTGATGGTTAATCACAAGTAATTCACAAATACTCGAAAACAAAATGTTTTGATGACAATAATTCTCTATGGTACAACCGAATTAGTTACAAATAACTGTATAAAACGATAAAACATGAAATTATAAAAACGTTTGATATTAATTGTAGAGAAATACAAGTAGGCCCGTGACTAGGCCCAAAAAAGAGCCTGATAGCAGTAGAGCCAGAGAAGATAGACTCCAGAGCACTAGAGGAGCAGAGCAGAAGCAAGAGACAGAGCAAAGTTTATTTTGTGTCTTTCTTGAACCTTCTTGGTGAAAAAGACGTTTTGCCATATAAAAAATTGCACATGATCATTTATATTCCTACACTACTAACAACAAATTATTCCACTTTTAACAAGCCGTTTTTCTTTTTCAGTTTAATCTTTTACATCTATTCACTTCTCTAGTCTCACTCATTCTCATTTGAGTTTGTTGCTTTACTATTCAAATGCCTGAATATAGTTGAACAGGGTCACATTTAGCACAGACCTGGCTGCCTTCCTGTTGAGTGATGAGCACAGTGCTAATAAGCAATGTTGCAGTCTAGGTTGTAAAGCTGAGAGCACAGAGGTTTGTGGGATTGAGCTTGCCGGTGAAACGAGAGGAGAACTGTGGCTATGAAGGAGACAGGGTTTGCGTGAGTCTAGGCCGCAGTGGCTCAGACATACAACCTCATAATAAAATGAGGATTAGTGGAAGATGACAAACTCTGACAATTCAGAAGAAACATGTTAATGCTGTTGGGCTGCCACTTAATCCGATAAAGAGTTGGTTAGATCTGTGGAATTATATTTTAAGTGTAGACTAGCATTTAAAAGTTTTAGGTGGAGCAAGAGGTTTTGTTTTTGGGGAAAAAAAGTCTCACCAATGCTGAATTCATTAAAAAAAAAAAAAAAAAAGTAAAACTGAAATTATTATTATTATTAGGGTTTAAAAGGACAGATTTGTTTTGTTTTCTTGACCATGTTAATGAACCCAGTAACAATATATATTTAAGCAAAACACAAAATGATAATTGGTCAAAATAACAAACCAATTTTTTTTAGATGCATTTAAATTAGGGCTTGGCGATAAAATTGGCATCGATATTTATTGACCGAACACCATTGTCAATATCCATAAAAAAATTTTTTTTTTGAAGCTTTTTATGAAGGCTATAGTTTTATTAAAATGTGGCTGCTAAGCGCGCCTTAGAAAGAATGCCAATAAGCTTAGGGTGTAAGTTTGTGCAAGTGGCGCTCACGTGACGCAAGCAAATTCTTCTGGTACAAATAGTTAATAAACATCTGAACTTTTCCGTATGCTGCAAATGCACCGCGATTCATGTACATAAAACTAGCCAATCTTCTTCACACTTTGTATGGAATTTACACATTTCAGTAATAACAGTAGGCTAGGGTGACGTAGTGGCACTGTATGTAGTGCTGTCGCCTCACAGCAAGAAGGTCGCTGGTTCGAGCCTCGGCTCAGTTGGCGTTTCTGTGTGGAGTTTGCATGTTCTCCCTGCGTTCATGTGGGTTTCCTCCGGGTGCTCCGGTTTCCCCCACAGTCCAAAGACATGCGGTATGAGTGTGTGTGGATGTTTCCCAGATATGAGTTGCGGCTGGAAGGGCATCCGCTGCATATAAAAGTGCTGGATAAGTTGGCGGTCAATCTGCTGTGGCGACCCCGGATTAATAAAGGGACTAAGCTGACAAGAAAATGAATGAATGAATAAATAGTAGGCTAATCAGTTCAGGCAAAAACAGCGCATCTGCAAACTTTTTTGTTTTTTACTTTTTTCCATAAACTTGCATCAGAGCTGTAGCAATGGTTTGTCTATTTGTCTTTTTTTTCAACAATTGATGGTCACCTAGTTGTGAGAGACGCCATAAAAAATGTTGAAGGAAATCACACGCTTAAGCTTTTCACAAGTTTTGGTTGCATCATTGTCGCATAGCACATGCGAAAACGAGAGCCGTATAGCCGGAGTGAAGAGATTTGTAAATGAAAAAGGATGTTGCCAGAGTGGCTTTTTGGTTTCTTTTCTTGTGCACTATACCCTATCTGAAATATTTTACCGTAGGGGGGTAATGTAGTCATTTCACTTCACAATTTGTAATGTTCAGTATGAATTTGAATAATAATAATAATTGCTCTTTTACTTGAAAGCTCAGATTTGATTATCATCATTTGTTTTGTTTACAGAGGTTTACTGTATCATTATTATTGACATGATACAGATGTTGATCTACCTTTACAATTGCACACACTTTGTAACATTTTATTTATCAAGTTTAAGAGTCTCTTTAACACTTCTGTTTACTTTATTATAAAGAGTTCAGATATTTTGTTTAAATATTTTGGTTTTTGCCTATTAAAACTATTTGCCTTTGTAATGTTGGTAAATTAAAATAAAGTAGTTAAATAAAAAATCCTAATATTTTTAACTGATTTGTTAAAAATTATTCAATAATTATCAATATCGAATGATATAAAACAACATATTAAAGTAATTGTTTTTCTGGCCAGTCATTTTTGTCAAAAACATCTTTTTTTTTATCTCGATATTTGCTAAGAAGCTAAAGCTAACATTTCACTGCACTTGATGTTCTCTCAGGTGTCTCTTCTCAAGATATATCCAGTCCAGGCAGGGGAAGGTCTAACCGGAGTCGAGGACGACCTAAAGGCTCTGGAGGTGCTGGAAAATCATCTGTGAGGAAGGGAAGAGGAAGGAAGTCGACCGCGGGCAGTGCTGCAGCTATGGCGGGAGCGATGGCAGGAGCAGCAGCCGCTTCTGCAGCTGCGTATGCCGCATACGGCTACAGTGTGTCTAAAGGTAACAGTTTCAACGCCCAGGTTTACACAACACAATGTTAGGCTAGAAATCTGAGGCTTGTTTATGTGAGTGACGAAACAACATGATATGGATACCTAAAGAAATATTTAGCAAGCTGTGAAATGTGTTTCTAACATAAGCAGCAACCAACAAGCCAGTGAGAGAGAAATGTTGCACAGAGAGACCTTTGACTGGCAGCAAAAAGTCTGGACTCCATTATAGTTTCATTGTCCAAGAACCGCTCAAGAGCCCTAATGACTGACATGTAAGGTGACAAATCGGTTCTTTCTGGTCTACATAAAAATGTAAAGCCAATGTCCCTACATGCTCCTGCACCAGTGTCCAACCAGTAAGTTATTCGTTCAAGAACATTCAGTCATCAGGAGACTTTGCTGTGAAATTCATAAACCATTCAAAGCCAACCACAAAAATCCTTAATTCATGAGTTGGCTGTTACCAGACAATCCATTAAAGAACTCAACACAAGCAACTCTCAGAGGTCCTGTCAGATTCAATCAATGTGTCCATGACTCTCAGTGTTTTCAGTTTTGTGGATTTTGTCCATCAGATGTTCTGCCAATTATCCATAGGTATCCGAGGCTGAGATCAGAGAGCAATTTAAGGTGGAATTGTGTCATCCATCTCCATATTTTTGTGTTTATTTATTACTTTTGCTGCAAATTAGCACTTCAACAACATGGTTCAAGCGTCTTGCGCCATTTTTATTTTAGAGGAATTCCATTCAGTTTCTTATATGACTAGTGGTGCATGCATATTGTACATGAGACTTTAGTGTATTTTAGTCCTGTTTCCGAAGACACACCAAGTCTGCCTCCGAAATCGCTTGCTTCCATACTATAGGTTGTTTTCAGTCACGTGGTTCTGGTGATGTGCGAAATCATCTATGTGGTACATACTGCATAACTATATTACATGAAAAGTACTATAGTAAATATAGTGTTTGGAAGCATACTATAGATAATTACTTGAATTAAACTGTTGTAGTAATTTTATTGTTACTGTGATACAACAAAACTGTAGTAATAAACAAATTATTCAACAGGCTTCAGTTTTCTACATTCAGTTTTTAACGTTACAGTATTTATTCCAGTTTACTCTGCGACAGTATTCTGTAGCATTCATTAACAGAGAGTTGTACACATTATACACTTTACTGTGTGGTTAAAAATCATGTTTATTTTAAATTACTCTATTTTTTTCCCCATGCGGATATCTTCCAGACATCACAAAATAACAGATGAAAGCATACAAAACCGTGGACGCATACTCTATTATTTATTTATTCATTGTTGTAAGGGGGAAAAGTGCTCCAAAATAATAATTGTCTATTTTTGTGGCAGGGGTTGCATTTCTTTTTTTTTTTTTTTTGTGGATAAACTTACCATCAGCAAACTTTTACTGCTGCTGCGCATCTCAATGTTCACATTACAGATGTTTATTCTGCCGAAACACCAGTAAAAACAGAGTATTGCAAAACAAGATGGAGATTCCATGGCAGAGTATGTTATTTATATTCTCCTGGATTTTTGTGTTGGTGTTTGTATGTGATTTTTATATAACACATGAACATGTTTATACACATAGCTAGGTTTGTATATAATCTTTATTAGAGCTGTCAAACGAATTATTGCATTCAAAAAAGTTTGTACACATGGATGATTTGATAAAATTTTTATTACATGCCGCCTTTTCTTCCATTTTTCAGCCAGATTCTTGAACTTTCCCCTCTTCATGGCCAAAAACCTTTGGAGTTCTATAAAAGCTGTTCTACATTTCTTATTTTGGCCGATTTAAACGATTTTAAACAACATAAAACAGAAACATTTTGATGTTCTGATTCCCCTGTAGAAGAATCACTTTTGCCCTCCATCTGAATTTCGCATGTCATCAATGACGTCATTTGAAAACAACCTATATAGTACGCTAAAAAGAGTACACAAGCTGAGTAGTATGTCCAAATTCGTAGAATTTGAAATACAGTATGCGAGAAGTAACCAGATGACCTACTATTTCCAGCGAGATTCTGATGTGCGCATCTGATGGACGCTACGCTATCCCATGATGCACCGCAAGAGAATTAATAAATGAGACTGATGTGGGTAGGTCACATGATTGTGACATAATGGCGGACGCAGTATGTCTAAGTTTCATTCATACTACTTGCATTCATACTGTACTTCTCTATTGGTCGAGTAGTAAATTAAATTGCACTGCCTACTGAGTAGTTGGCGATTTCAGACGCAGCCCAACAGTACAGATTTTCAATCTCTTCCTAATCAAACACACAAGAATCAACTCATCAGAACCAAGAACAGACTTCAAAACCTGAAATGAATGGGTCAGATAAGGGAGACATTAAAAATATGTACTATTAGTGAGCCTTCAGGAACAGGGTTAGGAAACAGGTGTAAAGTTACCTCAAGGCACTAATACAACATGTATTTGAACAAATTCACGATGACCAAAACAGTGTTGTGTGAAAAGAACCGCAATCCAACCACTTTGAACATCAGATATTACACACAGCATAACAAACAACAGTTCAATGTTAATTGTTAATCAACCCTTTTTTAGGTATTCCAGCAAGCGGCTCCTTACCAACGGCTCTCATACGGTCTTCAACCACACCTACCTTTGTTCCAGCTGGCACCTCCTCACCGCAGGCTAAAAGCAGCGCTGTGGCCACCAACTCACAGACTTTAGCACATGGCAGTTCGCAAAGCCAACACAACCCTACTAAAAGAGGCAAAATCCCCAGCAACCACAGTGGACGGTAGCAGCCTGGGAATGTTTGTTTGCGTTCTGATTGTAGCATGGCCAGTATATTTTCAGTCCCATGTCGACGATTTTCTTGCTTATGATGTTGAGCCGCTATCAAACCACAAGCCCTAATGCCACTGTGAAACCCGACCTGATGCCCATCATGATTTTGCATTCTTTTATGGACTGGAGAGCAGAATGCGAGGTCACACTTTACTTAACAGCAAAAACAAGTCATTTTTTCCCTTGATAATTCAGAATCTGAGGTTTAGCTAAGTTTATGCAGAAATGGTGATGGAGTTCATTATTCCAGTGACTGCTTTTTTTTTTTATAAAGTTTTCAAGACCATGCAAGGAGCAACAGGGCCATTCAGATCATTGTTATGAGCAGAGATGAGATGGTGACAAAGGAGGGATGTTGGTTATTGAACGCCCTCTTGAACAAAGTCTTTACATTTTACACACATTTGAAAAGATCTGTTATTTTTGTAGGACAAACTTGTTGACGTTTGTTCAATTCAAATACCGAATGGCCTTCTCTTTCTATGTTTATTTGCTGCAAATTCAAAGAGTTTGGCCTAAATACTACTATATATATATATATATATATATATATTCATTCTCTTGGGAAGAATAAAGAAATCAATGTGTTTTGTAGTAAATGCAATGGAGAAAAAAAAAAGTCTGAAGTGAGCGCTGCTCAAAAAACACGTCACTGCTCAGATTTGTGACTTAAAAACTTGGATATGAAATGTATTATAGCTTAAGTTAAGACTTGGTAATTTATGATCTGTGCTGGGTGTAAATTGTATCAAAGCGGTTTTTATTTTTAAATAACAATGAAAAGTTCATGATTTGTTGCATATAGTTATGGTTTTTGAAGGCCATTTCTGGGTTCATTTTGTCTTTAAACGTGATGATGTTATATGTATGTAAATACTTAAAGGGTTTCGTCCCTTTCAAAGTTCTCCCATTTTCCCTCAATTGCTTGTCTATTTTTATAGGTCAGTGTACATACCTGAAGAAATGCCCAAATGATTCTTTTACTAACTTGGGGGGACAAAAGCCCTAAATAAACATTAATTCAATGATTCGAAATTGTGATTTTGTTGCACCTAACATTGCTTTCTAAAAGTTCATTTTAAACTTCATTTTAAATTTTAAACATCAATTTTTTCACACATTTAACAACCATACCAGCTATATTTCACATTAAACACAACAATCCAGATGCATGTTTGTTGATCGTTTTAATGTGCAAATAACTGTAATGACTTAACAGTATTCTGCTTAGTGCAAATTGTAAAATAAAAAAGGGGGAGTGTCTTGAGATTCCATGCAAACATATTCACAACATAAACAGCTTAAGAACTGGACAAATTTGGCAATACATCACAAGCATGCATTTGTACCACAGCACAACATACTTGAGCACAAAACAATGATAACTGACAGTACTCATGTTTTGACATTACATACTTCAAATGTTGACAGGCTAAAAATACCATGTTCCCGTAACATCAGCACCTACTGATGTATTACAGTGATAAATTGGTATAGGGAGAATAAAATATCTGAACAGCCACTTAAAATGACAAATCGCACCTTAAGGACGGCAACATTAACTTTATATTAGAACCTTAATGCTGTTTTGACCTATTTGATTGCTTTTCAGAAGATCTACAGGTTTCTATGCGGCCAATAATATGGGTCTAATGGTGGCGAGAAGAGCTGCCTCGATGGAGAACAGGTGAGGGTCGTCCACATCAGGACAGCTGACTCTCATGAACTCCGCCAGGCGAAGCAGGTACTCGATGTTGTGCCCCGAATTCCCCTTGCACACAGCGATCTGAGAGGCGATTTCCTCTGTGCTAGCAGGCCCCAGGTAAATGGGGTTGTCAGGCGTGGCGATGTAAACCAGAGCCTGGACTGGTGGCTGATTGGTGCCACGCGGAAAGAAGTCGACAGCCCGGGTCAGATAACCACCTCTCACTGCCTCCCTCACGTTCAGGTACTTGAGAGACTCCTCCATCTGAGAGCCAGTCACCTCGAAGGCAACACCCCAGGTGCACACCTGTGTACCAAAACATACGGTTAGTAAACATATGGTGGAGGGAAAGTATTTAAAGTGATGTGTGGCCAAATTTCATCATGTTGTTCTAAACCCATATACATTTTTCTTTCTGTACAATAAAATTAAAGGTAGGAGATATTCTTACGGCTGTAGCCAGGGTCATGCCATGTCAAATAATAATAATGGAGGGCACATAAGACGTACAGCCGTAATAGTTCTCAGAACATTCACGGTAAACAAGTTCTACAAGGACGTGAATGTTTGGAATCATTTAATTATAAAAATTATGCCTAGGCTTGAATTCACCTTGTCGAAAAGGTTTGAAGTAACGCCATTATGCTGCCAACTCTTAATATTTTCTTCATAGATATGTATACATGGACAGATACCATAATGATCAAATCTGACATCTTGGAACGGTTAACATGTGGTCAGTAAATTTCCCAACATATTACAATTTAACGCAGCTTCTGATTGTAGAAATCTTTATTTCCTGTACAGTTCCTACAATTAAATAAGCATTTAAACTACATTGCTTTGTTACATTTAGCATATACTTAGATCTTAATTATATTGATACGTTTTATAATTAAGATTGTTTTGATTTAAATATAAATTCAGTAATTAGCACAACCCTACAGTTCCTTGGACCCCAGTTTGAAAACCCCCTGTAACCCTCTTTGTTTTGTTGTATATTGATGCTTAGTAAATGCGGTTTCTGATTTTGATGCAAATATAGACACATTTGTGTCAGCTTGTGTTCCAATATGGTGGATGCCTATTCCGGGTGGCATCTATAGATGTCCTAAGAAATAGCTTGTAAAAATAGCCGCCAACGGGGCTCTCGTGTATGTACATGTATGGTTGGTTGTTCCTAATAATAAAAAAGGAAGTTCCACTTACGTCATCCTCCTCGATGAGCGTCACCACTCTTCCGGGCTGTCATGGAGACACGTAACGTAAAAGGTCAACGAGTAGCAATGGGAGAACAGTTCAGGTATTTTATGAATTTTCAAGAAAAATATGGAATTTAAACGCAACTTACCATTTCATCATCTCCACGATGAAAGTTATCCCCATGCCAGAAGCGTCTCTTGTACCCCTTAATATAACCGACTTTGCTCCTCTTGTACTTGAAGTCTGGCTTCCAGACCAGCGAGCCGTAGCCGAAGATCCACAAGCTGGATTTTCCAGCGACGATGTCTTGAGGTTTCATCTTTTACAGGATGGTATGAGTGTAGAAAAGGTAATAGTGTGCGCTTTGATGTAAAAACAGCTAAATGAATGGGCCACAGGCTAGGTAGCTAGCGTTAGCTTCCTCCTATCAAGGAGAAGAGGTATGGGTTGGCTCACGGCTATACCGCGGACGGTATCAGAGCCCAACTGCTTAGCAGTTGTGATGGTGCAGTCTCGCAAAACGCTTTTCTTTGCCTGGTGCATGCCTATGCCGTGCAGTTACCGCATCATTGCCTTAAAACTCCATCTTGGCCTTTTCGGCTCTTTCAATCGGAATAAAACACAAAAAGCTGTTGCTAGCTCGCCGGCCAGCCTCCTGTTTATCAACAAACCTCTACCCGGCCAATCATACGGTGCTGTAAAGGCGGATCGAATAACCTTTTAACCGTTGTTTTCGCGCACCCCGGGCTGCCGCGCTGCTTTTCGTCCTCGGCGGATGATGAAATGTGGGCTGCTCTGAGGCAGGCTATATGCAACATTGCCTATGGGCGTATCTGACCTTGTTCGAAGATCTGACCAATCATAGCGTAGCAAGGGCGGATCGCCTGGTCTTCTGTCCAATCGTTCCATCTCTGCGTGACTCTATAACCGCATACCTGTGTGATTGGCTCACGAACAAGGAAAAATCTCGCCCTGTTGTTCAATTTGATAGGGCGGTCAGCTGTCGGTCACAGGACACGCGCACTCTCATTGGTCAGCAGATCTGTCGCTTAAAGTCTGTTCGGCTGATGCAACGTGAAAGAAGCGTTTCAAGGGGCGAGGCAGGCACAGGACGTACTGAGAGGATTGCGTCAGGCCTTCCAAGAATGCTATCCGAAACCCAAACAGTGCTGAATGCTTACATACAAGGAATTAGAAACGACTGAATAAGATAACATCATGTAGTATAAAATGTAGTATAAAATGTATTTTCTATGTAGGTTCACATGAATGCTGAAGTGTAATATGTAATACAATATAATAATATTTAATAGCCTATAACCAAAGAGATCTTCATTGGGGAACAATTTTTCTGTAATAATGTATAATACATAACAAAAAGGCAGTACAGTATTCATCTCATTTCGTAATGTAATAAAATATATCATATAATGTGATAGCAATGTTGTGTAGTAATTATTACATGTAATCAGGATTACATAACCAGATTCTAAAAATCACTACTTAGTAATTAATAATTACTGTAATTGATTTGATTCACCTTATTTTTTTAATCAAATGTTCCTATATATATATATATATATATATATATATATATATATATATATATATATATATATATATATATATATATATATATATATACTTAACTGTAATTAAATTATAGTAGGAATTTGTATAATAATGGCCACAGAAAAACTCTGCAGATTCATTTGCACTCAGTGCTTCAAAATTTGGGAACAAATAATATTAAAAAAGATAGAAAGAAATCTAAACTTGCAGTCAGGGTACATTAAATAGAATAAGTAATGTAGATTTAATTACAGTTTTTGTTTACAGATTTTTAATCAGAATTTGTAAGTAATTCGAAAATCAAGATGCTGAAAAGTTTAGACTTGAACATATTTCTCATGAGTTTTATTTTTGTCAGTGTGGTCAATGGTCAAATATCGTCAAATTTTAGATGCATATTTTCTTGTCACTAGAAATGAAAACAGCCTTTGCATTCTGAGTGGGTGCAAATTATTCATACTATTATGCTTATTTTCTTTTCTCTTACTGACATCTTCCTTGAATATTCACAATATAAAATGGACATGTAAATGTTTGTTCATTTCAATGTAAATTCTTTTGCAATCCATACTCTTAAATCTGGGAACAAATTAAAACCAAGCAAATCATGTTAGTTCTAAAGTGATCTAAAAGTAATCAAAACGTTGTCACAATTAAATACCAAAAATAGGTAATCTAGCTTGCATTACTTAATTTGTAATAACAAACACACTACAGTTTACATTTTTTAAGTAATAAAAAACATCAACATTCTATCACAAATGATGTACTCATATAGATTTTTTTAACTCTAATGGTTTGTTGCAATCAGTTTTCTTAAACTGTTTGAGATGCCTTAACTTATTGGGTTTTACAGTACTCAGTTGGTTTGAGTTCTCTTCATTTATTGGGTTTTACTGTGCTCAAATTGCTTCATTTACTCAAATGGATTAAGTACACAGTACTTAACATTAGTTTTTTTTTTACTTAAATGGTTTGTAGCAATTGGTTTCCTCAACTGGTTCAAGTTACCTTAACTTTTTGATTTTTACAGTGTATGTTTATTTTTTAGTTTTGTTCTTCACCAAAAATAGCAACATCCTTCAAACATCTGCATTCAGTTTTATCCTATCATGACTGTTGAGGCAGATTAGTTTCTTCCTAAAGATCTTCTAAGCTATGCCATCGGCTTGTATATTAGATCTGCTTTGTCTGTAATCTCCATCTCTGATAGTGTGACGTATTTCAGATCTATCCGTTTTAAGTTAGGGCACGGAAACGTGTCATAATATTTTTTTAGACATATCTAACAAACATGTGATGTTCAAAACCAAACTACCACAAGCCACGTGTTTCTCTCTATCTTTTTGACTGCTTTATTTACAAATTATGATAAATTCAAGGTCACCAGTACTTTAAGTTCGGAGTGCATATGTCTGCTTTTCTTTTGAGTTGCTTCATGTTCTGAGCAAAACAAATATTTTTGTGTCAACCTGTTTTCTGAGTTGGTTTCTTTACATGAATGTTTCTGCGTCATACAGAATCATTCTTGGGTAACTGAACAGCCTGTGAACAACATTACAACATCACCAATCTATTAAGAAAAACAGGCAGGGCAGATTTGTGACAGTTTCTTTGTCAGCCCTTGTCTTACGTTGAGGTATAATCATCCCAGTTCCAAAGCCATGAGACTATTATGATAAACAAACCAAACGGTTAGTTCACCTAAAATTCAAATCCTGTCATCATTTACTCACTCTCATGTTGTTACAAACCCAAAGTATATTTCTTCAGGACACTTTTGTAATCAAATCTGATAAATCTATTCCTCTGTTAAAAGTCTAATTATTATGAACGGTACAAAGAAGTCAAACAACAACAACAACAATTAATTAATTTAATCCAATTCCTCCTAAGAGAATTTGTCGCATTATTAACAGATAATATTAAAAATAACTATACATTTATCACCATAATTCCCCAGTTTATTGATCACATTAAGAATTTTCAGCTCTTTTGTATGCAAATAAGTTAGTTTAATTAAATATGCACTAATTTACATTACATTTCACTACAAAAGTCAGATCGTTGCATGAAGTCAGGTTCAAAATTTTTTATTTTTTATTTTAACCTACATTATGACAGTCCGAAATTTTTACGGAGGGGATTATTGTAGAAAATTAGAAAAAAGTAGAATATATTTTTTTATTTGTGTATATATTATGTACAAAAAAGTAGGGGAAAAATCTTTACATATACGAACTGATAGACATCTTGTCATCGATTCCAGTTGTAAGAGCAACAAATATTAACTTGACTTCTAGTTGATAATTTGTAAAAGTGGCAGAAGATACATTTTTTTCAGTGAATCACCTGTTGAACTGCATCCCAATCATCACAAATACTGTAGAAGACACATTGGAACCCGCATGGACCCAAGATTCTCACTGAAGTCAGTCAAGTTTGGTGAAGGAAAAATCATGGTTTGGGGTTAATTCAGTGTAGGGGCTTGCGAGAGATCTGCAGAGTGGATGGCAACATCAACAGCCTGAGGTATCAACACATTTGCCCATTACATTACAAACCACAGGAGAGGGCAAATTCTTCAGCAGGATAGCACTCCTTCTCATACATGCCCGAATTGGCTAATCGGGAGGACTGGGAGAATTCCCGGTGGGCCGGTCCATTTTTTGGCCGCGAGGGCCGGTGTCCCTAGCTCCATAATCTGTTGCTCTCAGCAGTCACACTTTTTAAAATTAATTCACCTTTTTACTTGACCACAGTCTTCTTATTCATTATTTTACTGCAGCTCTGCTCTTTTTATCTATTTTCTCGTAGCCTTGTGAGCAAGATGCAGCCTGCAGGTTAATGATGATATAACTCAGATGTGTCACTTCACAGTGTACAGCTGTTGTGGTCCAGTGGTTAGCACGAAAGGTTTCGATGCTGCTGACCTGGGTTTGATCCTCGTCTGAGTAATTTTTTTATTTATTTTTATTGTTAAGACATATTATACTGTTAGGGTTGTTGAACATTTGAAGTTCTAAAGCAGCTGTTTTCTCAAAAAAAGACGTGATAGTGTAATTAGAAACTGAATTGGAAATGACCTTATTTTAATATAGTCAGTCATGAACGGATGTGGGCCGGTCTGAGGCTTGAAACTCCAGGGCAAAAAAGGAGTCCCACTCCGGCCCTGTTCTCATACTTCAGCCTCCACATTAAAGTTCCTGAAAGTAAAGAAGATGCTCCAGGATTGGCCAGCCCAGTCACCAGATATGAACATTATTGAGCTTATTTGGGGTAAGATGGAGGAGGCATTGAAGATGAATGCAAAGAATCTTGATGAAATCTGGGAGTCCTGCTAGAAGGCTTTCATTGCCATTCCAGATGACTTTATTTATTTGAGTCATTGCAGAGAGGTATGGATGCAGTCCTTCAAGCTCATGGGAGTCATACACAATATTAATTAGGCTGTGAGGTAATGTACTTACATGTCTTATATGGTGCTAAAGTATAGACTTATGGCTCAGTGTAATAGACACAAAATCATTTTGAGAAAATGGCCTTTCAAAATATGTGTTGTGATACAAACACAAATTAATAAAGTGCTAAAAAAAGTGTATTATGGAAATTATCTTTCAATATAACAGCAATATTTTTTTTCCATGTAGTGCCATAAGCATTCAATATTTACAGCATTTAGATATCAAATTTAATTTGAGTGATCACATACTGTATCTTCAAAAGAAAGACTTAATTAACTTACTTGATTCTCCTCAAATCTCTTAATTTCATGAAAAACTGCTCCACTTGTGCTCAGAAATTAAATGAATCTCCTATTGGTTTTAGAACGTAATAAGAGAGTGAATATGATTTTTCCTATTGGGGTGAACTAGCCCTTTAACATTCACCCCATGTCCAGTTTAGTGGAAATGGAGATGGTAAACAAACACCCCTCTGCCCGCTGCCACCCCTGGATATTTCCTTGTAGTATAGCTTAGGCTCTTCTTTGGTTAAAATAGGATTATCTATAAATAGAGGTATTAGCTGGCATCATAAGATACAAGCACATGTAAGCTCCTTAAAAGTCTGCATGATGCACAAGCCTTTCTCTGCCTATAGTTCAGGCAGACGGGAGGTCCAGTGACCAGACCTTTCACGGGACGGCCTGTTTACTTTCTCCAGGCGGGACATGCTATGCCCCTGCTGACCTTATATGAATGACAAATGCAGAATGGC